AGTTATTGAAGCTTCTTTAAAGTCAAATAATTCTTTTAAGGTATGACACAGAAAGAGCTCGATAAATGAAAATGACAGAGCAACATTTTCTAGCTTATCTGGAAATACATGAGTGAAAGTTTTACATCTGCAGACTGAAATCTATCAAAATGGCTTTTCCCAGACATAATTTTAACACGTGATTTAAGTTTCATGTGAAATAAACACATTTTGTGTTTTATTGCTAACAGTGTTCTAACACTTATTGGTCTAAATTGTGATACGATTTTTGTATGTACAACTGAGGTTTAAAAAAACTTAATCGGGCATATACGTAAAAGGTTCGAGTATTAACATTTAAATAATTTTGCTAGCCTTCTGTGATTATCAGGTTGGTTCATCTGGTAGCATGAAAAGTTGCAGGTGATTTCAGAATTTATTTCTTCTACAAAGTCAAGTTAAAATTTGATTCTAAAAATTGCACAAAATTGTTCATAATGCATCTGGTGTTGTACATGTTCTTGGCCAATAGATATGTTTCACTCAAAATTATCATTGGAAACTTTCATGTATGGAAAAACTACTTCAAAATTAAGCATAATTTATCAACTGCTTACCTTCTTCATCGAGAAGTATGTTCTCCATCTTAAAAAAATATAAACAAACATTATCTGCATACATCTTATCATTTGTTTACAAACATATAAATATTGTGTCTATATTTAACTTTCTATACTCTTTCCAAGCATGGAGTGGAAAAAGTAAAGAATTTTTTTTCACAAAATTGTTGAAACATTTAATAAATCAATTTATATACACAAATAATTGATGTGACTGAGAAGTTCCCAAACAAAATATAATCTGCTTGAAAGGTAGTAGGCACATTAACTCTTTCAGCACGGGCTCAATCCCAAGGACCGACCTCGTAATCATTTAGTGCTTGCTATAGTTTTTAAATTAGTAAGTATATCTTCATGAAATTTTGCAGATAATCATGTAATGTTTATTAACTTTTAATATTTTTTAAGTAATATTTTTCTAATGCTTTTTTCTTTTCAAATGTTGACTATCCAACATGCAAAGTAGTTTTTGATTTTAAAATTAAAAATACTTTTATGCATCAGACAAGTTTCAAATTTCACGTGCAAAATCTTTATAACCTCCAGATAATTATCAAATGTTTGTTAAGTAAAAAACTTTATATTTTATCTTGTATTTTCACTATCAAATCTCTCTACGGGTTCAGTTGATTTGACTGACCTCGTAACCACCATAAAAAAATTAGGAAATAAATATAAATTATTCCTTTTTCGTTCTAGAATGAACACAGATTATAATACGAAAAAACAAATGTTCAGACTAAATAGCTTAAATCTCATAACATTAT